ATTGGCTGTTTTCCCAACCCAGTCATTACCAGACTTTAAATCTAGGAAGGAAGTTTGGAGGCTGAGGTAAGGCAGAGGCAGGGGAGGCAGCAAGGAGAGGTGAGGGCGATAAGGGGGTGGGCAGAGAGTACAGAGGCTGATAAACAGTGGGCTATTGCACACACCTGTTCCCCAAAGTTCTCTTCATGCCAGCGGAGGCCTATCTCCACTCAAGCGGTCCACTCTCTGTTCTCTGACCAGAATTCTGAAAGAGCCATGACGTTCAATTTGAGTATGTTTCTTGGAGCAGTTAAAAAGTCAGTAACTGGTCGTTTTGGAGAGGTTTTTATTTTTTCAATTAAAAAAAATTAAAGTAATTTTTGGGTGTAGAACCCAATGTGGGACTTGAACCCAAGACTCCTGAGATCAAGAGTCTCAAGAGTCCCGTGTTCTACTGCTGAGCCAGCTAGGAACCCCTGGACAGTTTTTTGTTTGTTTGTTTAAATAGCCACTCATTTTAATGAAAAAAAAAAGAGAGAGAGAGAGCGCAGATGACTTGTCATTTGTGGAACTATAATCCCTATCCCACATAACACACCCAGAGAAACCAAAAAGAGAAAACACTCCAATTATCTAAAGAACCGTTTAGCATTTCACAATTTTTCACTTTAAACTGGTTATACCGATACATAAAACAACATTTAGACAGCTGCTCTCTGTGCTTGGACAGGAAACTTTATTTTTTGTGTCACAGGTTTTACCAATTATAAAATGAAATGATCAGGAAATCAGCAACATCTTAAGGTCTGAGGCTTAATGGCAAGGCACAGACTTTTTTTTAAAGATTATTTTAACTATGCTGAATTAAAGTTCTAACCAGGGGATGGGGATAAGAAAGAAACAAGAACAATTATTGAGCGCCCAGTATTTATATTCATTTAGTCGTGTGAACTCTGCTACAATAATAGCTATCATTACTTGGTTTATGCTATATGTCAAGCACTATGCTAGGGGACTTAACATTTTTCTCTCATCTAACCTTTTTTTCTTTAAAGATTTTATTTACTTATTTGAAAGAGAGAGAACACATGTGCGCGCGCACACACACACACACACACACACACACACACACACACACAGTGGGGGAGGGGCAGGGCGAGAAACAGACTCCCCACTGAGCAGGCAGCCTGATGTGGGGGCTGGATCCCAGGACCCCAGGATCATGACCTGCGCCAAAGGCAGACACTTAACCAATTGAGGCACCCAGGCACCCCTCTCTCATCTAATCTTCATGGTAACTTTATAAGGTAAATATTATTCTCATATTAAAAATGACAGAATTGTGACTAAAAAAAGTTAAACCATTTGTCCAAGATTTCTAGATTTGGATAATTGTAAAGGGAGGAATAAAATTGAGCCTCTTCTTTCTCAAGATTGCTCTGGCTATTTGGGGTCTTTTATTGTTCCATACAAATTTTAGGATTGTTTGTTCTATTTCTGAGAAAAGTGCCTTTAGAATTTTGATAGGGATTGCATTGAATCTGTGGATTGCTTTGGGTAGTATGGACATTTAACAATATTAATTCTTCCAATCCCTAAGCATAGAATAGCCTTCCATTTATTTATGTCTTCTTCAATTTCTTAATATCTGGTAGTTTTCAGTATACAGGTCTTTCACTTCATTGGTCAAATTTATTCCTAGGTACTTTATTCTTTTTGATGCAATTGTAAATGGCATTGTTTTCATAATTTCTCTTTCTGATAGTTTGTGATTAGTGTATACAAATGCAACATATTTTTGTGTAATGATTTTGTATCCTGCAACTTTAATGGATTCATTTATTAGTTCTAATTTTTTTTGATGGAGTATTTAGGGTTTTCTTTTTATATAAAGTCGTGAAATCTGCAAATAGGACAGTTTTATCTCTTCCTTTCCAATTTGGATGCCTTTTATTTCTCTTTCTTGACTAAATGTTCTGTTTAGGACTTCCCGTACTACGTTGAATGAAAGTGGTGAGAGTAGGCATCCTTGTCTTTTTCCTGATCTTAGAGAAAAAGCTTTCAGTTTTTCACAATTGAGTATAATGTTAGCTGTTGTCGTGTCATAGATGGCCTTTATTATGTTGAGGTACATTCCCTCTATATCTGCCTTGTTGAGTGTTGTTTTTTTAATCAAAAATGGATGTTGAATTTTGTTAAATTTTGTCAACATGGTGTATCACACTTATTGATTTGCAGATGTTGAACTATCCTTGCATCCCTGGAATAAATTTCACTTGACCATGGTGTATGATCCTTTCAATGTATTGTTAAATATGGTTTGCTAATATTTTGTCAATGATTTTTGCATCAGGGATATTGGCCTATAATTTTTGTTTTTGTGGCAAACTTATCTGGTTTTCGTATCAGGGTAATGCTGGCTCGATAAAATGAGTTTGGAAGATTTCCCTCCTCTTCTATTTTTTGGACGAGTTTGAGAGGGATTGGTATTAATCTTTCTTTGAATGCTTGATAGGAATCACCAGTGAAGACATCTGGTCTTAGACTTTTATTTGTTGGGATGTTTTTGATTACTGCTTTTCCTTACTAGAGATTAGTCTGCTCAGATTTTCTGTTTCTTCATGACTCAGTCTTGATAGGTTGTATGTTTCTAAGAATTTATCCATTTCGTCTAGGTTGTCCAGTTTGTTGATGTATAATTGTTTATAGCAGTCTCTTATGATCCTTTGTATTTCTGTGCTATCAGATGTAGTATTTCCTTGTTCATTTCTGATTTTATTTATTTGAGTCCTCTCTTTTTTTCTTGGTAGTCTAGCTAAAGGACTTATGGGCTCTTAAATAGCTACCATTAAATTTAATTATGTTTTATAGCGTGTTGTGAATTTATTTCAGGGAATTGTCAGACATGTCTTCTATTAAAGAGAGAGAGAGAGAAAACCTTTTAACATTCACAACTTCTGGGAGTACTTAAATCTTCCAGATGAAAAAATATGCCATTGTGGTGGCATATTGTCCCTTTGGTATTCTGGTAGGTCTGATAAGTAAGAAAGGGAGCAACATGTTAATGGAAGATCAATGAACTAGCAGTCAGGAATTCTGGTTTCTAGTTTTGGCTGTGCCATCCACTCAAAGCCTCATTGTGGACAAGTCTCAGCTTCTTTGGACTTAAGTTCCTTGAGCTGTAAAATGAGAGGACTGGGCAGTGTCTCAAAGGACACTTATAACCAAACTAATTTATGACACAGGGAATTTAGCCAAGCCTGGATCAAACTTTTATTCTAATAAAGAATGAATTCATGAAGCATAAACATTCAATAAGTGAGAAAAGAGAGCTTGCCATCTTTATTTGCAATAAATACAGTGTGTTTCCTGTCCTTTCCACAAGTAGCCATGGGAAGGGAGGGGTTGGGGGGAGAACAGGAACAGGATGTCCTTCCCTGACATGTCAATAACCAGTCTAAATCCTTAAATTTTTTCATGGCCATCAGGTCTGATATTCCAGAAGTCCATCCCACAAAACAAAAGAATTACTAATAACTTGTTATGAGGACAAGATAAGTGCTTCATTTCATTTTCATTTGTTAATTTTTTTTTTTTCAGGTGCCTTCCTTTCATTATTGTTGTAGTGTGAGGTTATAGTGACGATTTCAGGGACTTCGAAGGATAACATTTACAGAGAAACACTTGAAAGGACTTCGGTGTGCTTTTGGTAGGCTAATATTGCTAAGAGTTTGCAGGTGAACCAGGACAGAGACTAGAAACGGGACAGGTGGAAAGGGAGAAGTGCCTGGATACCTAAGCCAGTTCTAGGGAAGAGAAAGGAACTTTGTTCTTTCAGGCACTGTTGATTTAAGGCACTGTGAGAATTGATTATATGCTTGCCAATCTCCCTTTGATGACAGGAGCTGTGTTATTTATCTTTATATCCCCAGCGACAGAAACAACTGACAATCAAATATTTGTTGGGTTGAACTGAGTAAAAACTGCGCGGGAAAAGGTGGGAAAAAGGAGACCGAAGTAGCAGCCTCGGATATCTGAAACTTAACAGGATTTGGATTTACCGCAAGATCGACTGCAGGAGAAAGGGACTTCAGGAGTAGCAATGTTTCAGACGAGCTGCCAACAACCCAGAATTTAGAAGCTGAAAAGGGACTAGTTTGGAGAGTGATCAGAGTTCCTTATTAGTGAAAACTGATCAGGGAACAGGTTTGAACCCCCAAGAGAAAAAAGAAAGGGAGGAGCGACAGCGATAAGCAGATTGCCAAAACTGGGGAGTGTTTGTGGCCAGAGAAACACTGAAGTCGGAGCCAAAGGGAGCGGATTGAGTTCCAAATAGCTGGAGGATCCCCGCCCAGGAGCCTGACCTCCGAACTTCGCTTTGAGCTTGTTTCTTAACAGAACTACCAGGAAACCCTGAAAGATGTGCGGCTCGGGCTGGTATCTTGGCGCGACAACTTCCGTGTGTATGTGTGTGTGTGTGTGCGCGTGTATGTGCAACAGGGCGCGCCGCCCAAGAACTTCCGTGTGCGAGAGGGACTGGCGCACAGCCCGCCTGCACCCGCGAGGCGGGTGAGGAAACCCGCGCTCCCGGCCTGGCCGGCCCCCACCGCCGCGGGCAGGGGCGGGCCGGGGCGGGCCCTGCACCCGCGAGGCGGGTGAGGAAACCC